AGCTCTGTCAGGAGCCAGGAATAAGACCAAATATTAGAACAAAAAATGCTACTAGTGCTCTTATCACTTAGGAAATTGCAAGGGTTTTAGGAACTCTGTTTCAGAAACAGGGGGCAAAGGCCACATTTTTTTCTATTATTTTACAGTGGTATTAACATGCTGTATAGAGGTAATCAGAGGCCACACAGCCCCCTCCAAGAGAGGGGCACCTATTTATTGAATGGGATAGGGAAATATCAGGGAAGACTTGCCCAAAAAGGACATTAGGGATGAGAATGAAATTAAAAGGCCAGATATCTGAGACACAGCCCTTTTGACAAACAGCAAGGAATTAGGCATGTGGGGGACTACCAGGCAAATAAACTAGAGAACAAGACAGTGATTAAGAAAAGCCCTGAGTGATTCAAACCAGTGGAGAAAAGATGAACTTGTTAATAGGTAGTGTTGGGACAACTGGAGAGCCATATCGGAAAAAAAAAAAAAAAAAAGACAAAATTAAAATCATGCCTCATACCATATACTAGTGTTGATCACAAAGGGATAGAGATTTAAGTATTAATAATATGATATCATAAAATACTAGAAGAAAATACAGGCTTCAGCAATTTGGAGTGGTGAAAACTTTCTGGACTCTAATTCAAAATCCAAGGAAAAGATTGAGAGATGTAGTTACATGAATCTAATCAAGCCTCTAGTTCTAACTGCCAGTCTATAAAAAATACAAGGGATAAAGGAACTTGTTTAATGACACCAAAAGATGCTACCAACAAAATCTAGAATATGAGTGTGTCAGATTTGTACTGCTTTGTGAGCAGCTTTCTTCAACAAATAAATGCCAAAAGAGTGTTGTGGTGGGGAGGGTTGCCTTTAGATTAAAAGAGATTCAAAATACTTATCAACCAAATGAAATATATGGATCTTCTTTGTACTCAAAATATTTTTAATACTGAAAAACACAATTTTTAAATAAATGAAGAAATTCAAACACTGTGTTCTTCTTCTGACGTCCGCTCCGTCGAGTCCTACTCTTTGCGATCCCATGTACTTTACAGTCCATGGAATTATCCAGGCCAGAATACTGGAGTGGGTAGCCTTTCCCTTCTCCAGGGGATTTTCCCAACCCAGGAATTGAATCCGGGTCTTCAGCTTTTTAGGCGGATTCTTTACCGACTGAGCTATTAGGGAATCCCTGTGTGGTATTGGATAATTTTTAAAATTATCATTAATTTTATTAAGTATGATAATGGTAATCTGTTATACTAAAAAGAGGAGGTCTTATCTCTTAGAGATATGGATTGAAATATTTACAGATAAAATGGTATCATCTTTGATATTTAAAATAATCAAAAAAAGATGTGTGGGAAATGGAGTTCAGTTCAGTTGTTCAGTCGTGTCCGATTCTTTGTGACCCCATGGACTGCAGCACACCAGGCTTCTCTGTCCATTACCAACTCCTGGAGCTTACTCAAACTCATGTCCATTGAGTCAGTGATGCCATCCAACAATCTCATCCTCTGTCATCCCCTTCTCCTCCTGCCTTCAATCTTTCCCAGCATCAGGGTCTTCTCAAGTGAGTCAGTTCTTCACATCAGGTGGCCAAAGTGCTGGAGTTTCAGCTTCAGCATCAGTCCTTCCAATGAATATTCAGGACTGATTTCCATTAGGATGGACTGGTTGTATCTCCTTGCAGTCCAAGGGACTCTCAAGAGTCTTCTCCAACACCACAGTTCAAAAGCATCAATTCTTCGGCGCTCAGCTTTCTTCACAGTCCAACTCTCACATCCATACATGACCACTGGAAAAACCATAGCTTTGACCAGACAGGCCTTTGTTGGCAAAGTAATGTCTCTGCTTTTTAATGTGCTGTCACATTAAAGAGGTTGGTCATAACTTTTCTTCCAAGGAGTAAGTATCTGTTAATTTCATGGCTGCAATCACCATCTGCAGTGATTTTGGAGCCCCCAGAAAATAAAGTCTGACACTGTTTCCACTGTTTCCCCATCTATTTGCCATGAAGTGATGGGACCGGATGCCATGATCTTAGTTTTCTGAATATTGAGCTTTAAGCCAACTTTTTCACTCTCTTCTTTCATCAAGAGGCTCTTTAGTTCTTCATTTTCTGCCATAAGGGTGGTGTCATCTGCATATCTGAGGTTATTGATATTTCTCCCAGCAATCTTGATTCCAGCTTCTGCTTCATCCAGCCCAGCATTTCTCATGATGTACTCTGCATATAAGTTAAATAAGCAGGGTGACAATGTACAGCTTTGATGTACTCTTTTCCCGATTTGTAACCAGTCTATTGTTCCATGTCCAGTTCTAACTGTTGCTTCTTGACTTGCATACAGATTTCTCAGGAGGCAGGTCAGGTGGTCTGATAATTCCTATCCCTTTAAGAATTTTCCAGTTTGTTGTGATCCACACAGCATTTTCTAAAAACAGCTTGAACATCTGAAATTTCACAGTTCATGTATTGCTGAAGCCTGGCTTGGAGAATTTTGAGCATTACTTTGCTAGCATGTGAGATGAGTGCAATTGTGCGGTAGTTTGAGCATTCTTTGGCAATGCCTTTCTATGGGATTGGAATGAAAAGGTGTAAATAAAATAAAATGGTACACTTTTAAAAATAATTATTAAAGCTGGATAAGAGTCAGACAAAACTGAGTGACTGAACAGCAACAACAAAAGCTGGGTGATAAGTACATGAATATTCATTATTCTGTTCTATCTTTTCATAAAAATACTATTCTCATTCCTTTGAAAGTAAATCTGAAAATTCTCAGATCCACTAAAGGCCTTGTAAGCAAGGATAATGCCAAGCTGAAATTGGCATCTGAGGGGGTAGAGCCGTGGGGATAAAAAGGCTAGATAAGGTACTATCAATGAGGGTCAAGGACTGGACCAGGAGGGTGTCATGGGTGGGGGAGGGGAGAATCTGGGTATGGACAATATGAAGTTGGTAGAAGTGGTAGAACCTGATGGCCTACTGATGGAGAATGCTACAGAAGTAGGAATCAGGGATGACTCAGGCTCAGAATGGCTGTGTGGTTCATTCAACAAGCAAGGAAATTCAGAACTTCCCTGATGATCCAGTGGTTAAGACTCAGCACATCCACTGCAGGCAGCATGAGTTTGATTTCCAGTCAGGGAAGTTCTGCATGCTGCAACCTCCTCAAAAAAAAAAAGCAAGGAAATTCAGAAGGTATTAAAGTTAGATGTGAAGGAAGTGATAGGTTCCACTTCAGACAGTTTGTCCTTGTGCCTGTGGAACATCCACAGCTTAGGAAAGAAGTCTGCATTAGAGACATGGTGTTGGCAATGATCAGCTGCAGCATAATTTCCATGGAAACATGTAGAATGTGGGCACAAAAAAACACTCCCTTTGTGAGCAAGCTTTCTTATCTAATTAATAAATTAATCTTGGACTGTTGTTAACACTAAAAAGCAAAACTGGCTTAATCAAGGATGATATATGAGACCCAAATAGTAATAATCTATGATACCCATGATACCCTGTTGCCTCTCAATTTCCATTTTGAACAGGTCATAGATCTTCAGGGTTTCACTGCAAGGCTTTCTTATTTCATTTCTTTCCCCTACTTTTCAAGAGAACACTAAGGCTTAAATGGGCTTCACTGGTGGCTCAGATGGTAAAGCATCTGCCTGCAATGCCGGAGACCTGGGTTCAATCCCTGGGTCGGGAAGACTCCCTGGAGAAGGAAATGGCAACCCACTCCAGTACTCTTACCTGGAGAATTCCATGGACGGAGGAGCCTGGTAGGCTAGAGTCCACAGGGTAGCAAAGAGTTGGACACAACTGAGAGAATTCAGTTTCACTTTCAAGGCTTAAATACATTAGGGAGAAAACATCTGATATGAAAGATAAACTTTTTCTTTTCTGTTGTCTGTAGTATAAATATTATAAAAAGTGAAAACATTAGAACCATCTCGATCCAGGGGGCATTGTTCAATTTCCTATCTTTTAAACAACCATGATAGTTGTTTAAAACTATCCTTCTGTGTGTGTTAGTCGCTCAGTCATGTCTGACTCTTTGCAATCCCATGGACTATAGCCCTCCAGGCTCCTCTGTCCATGGGATTTCTCATGCAAGAATACTAGAGTGGGTTACCATTTCCTTCTCCAAGGAATCTTCCCCATCCAGGGGTTGAACCTAGGTCTTCCACATTGCAGGCAGATTCTTTACCATCTGAACCACCAGGGAACAAAGGAGATGCTAGTTTAAAAAAGCATTTAGGGATTGATTATACCTTGGATAAGGGCAAAGAGAAGACTCTTCAGCCCCTATCATATCTGTGGCTAGGGGAGCATCAGGCCATCTGCTAGGCTTTAACAAAACATGGCAATAACATTTTGGTTGAAAGCACAGAATGATTTTACAAACCAAAATTAAAGTTTGTAAGCAGTTGAGGCACTTGTAGGTCTTTTTTTTTCTTTTTAAAGGTATTTGTATATTTACCATTTATGTTCAGATAAGAATAGAAGCACACTGACATCTTTCTCTTTCTGTTCTGGGCTTATTCTCCTAATCTTGTGTTGACTGCCCAATTCAAACTCCTCAGCCTGCCGTTCAACACCTCCATAATTTTGCTTCACCCAAAATGACTTAAATCAGAATTTTGAGGGTTGGACCCAAGCATCAGTTTGTTTTCTAATCTCCGCTGGTGATTGTGCAGCAGTGTTGAAACTGACTGTGGTTACAATATGAATGAGGAGAAGACAGCTGGGATATTTGGAGTACCTATGAAAGTGAAAAGTGAAAGTGTTAGTCGCTCAGTCATGTCCGACTCTTTGTGACCCCATGGACTGTAGCCCGCCAGGCTCCTCTGTCCATGGGAGTCTCCAGACAAGAATACTGGAGTGGGTTATGGTCAGCAGCAAATGTAAGAACTGATGTTTTTCAGAGCTTCAGATGGCAGCTATGATGTACATGTCTGTGTGCGTGTGATCTGTGTTTCCTGTGTCTCTGCTCTGCTCGTAGGTGACTGCCGTGCGGGTGTATGTGAATAGCTCCTCCGAAAACCTTGACTACCCGGTCCTGGTTGTGGTTCGCCAGCAGAAAGAGGTGCTGTCCTGGCAGGTTCCTCTGCTCTTCCAAGGACTGTAAGTGGATCTTTCCCTGACAGCCTCATTACATTTGTTTTCCTTCAACATCCTAGACTTCAACTGATCTTTTCACTTGAGAAATCAGATGTTCGACACATTGACTAGTATGCATGCTAAGTGCAAACAGTTGACATGGTACATGCCCTGACCGGTTCAGCTCTGTCCAGCTTCTCTCCTCTTTGATAATCTCTGATAAGAACCTAGAATTGTAGCACCTGAAGAATGTCTTGGTTGGTTAGTGGGTCATCCACGGAGGACAGAGCTAGGCCTTGCAGTCACCTTAAGTGAGTGACACCTCCCCTTCTTCACAATGTTCACTAAGTGTGCTTTCTTTATCCCATAATATTTATTGAGCATTACTAAATGATAGATGCTGGGGATACAGTGGTGGAAAACAACAATGAAGTCTCTTCCTCGTGGAGTTTATATTTTCACAGGGGAAACTATATAGGGCACAAGAACAAGCAAGAACAAACCAGAAAGCATGCAGACATGGGCACAGAGTACAGTGTGAAATCATTTTGCAAGTTAAGAATGTGAGGACTGAAATACTGACTCTGATACCTTGACTTGGACTCTGGGGCTTTCTTTATATTTGTTTAGCAAAGACTTAAAGAGTGGCAAAATGGAATCAGGTTGTTTCATCAGAACAGTTTCCCTTCCAAAATCTGATTAATTTTCTGATTGAATTAGGAGGGTGATGTGGTGATGCAGGCACAGCCTAAGTGAACTGGTTGGCACACAGCAGTCCCCATATCTGTGTTATAATGTCACACAATTCTGTGCCAAGTACGTTAGCTGTAAAAATCACTGTCAGTAGGTCCAGTGGGAAATTTTAAATATAAGGACCTGGAAAGAAATTCAGAGAGAACTGAATGGAAACGTTTCTTTCCCTGCTTGTTCATTGAGTGTCCTTTTCCTTCTTGCTGGTTTTTCCTCCCCTGGCTGCTGCAGATACCAGAGAAGCTACAACTACCAGGAAGTGAGCCGTACCCTTTGCCCCTCAGAAGCAACCAATGAAACAGGACCTCTGGAGCAACTGATATTTGTAGATGTCGCATCCATGGCACCCCTGGGTGCCCAGTACAAACTGCTGGTTACCAAGCTCAAGCACTTCCAGCTGCAGTAAGCAGGACTCCTTGTGGCCTTTCTCTGTTCTCCTGTCTGCTCTTCCTGTGCTGTGCGTGCTTGATCCTGCTTCCTCCCTTCCAGATCAGCACTCCAGAAGGAAGTCATCCACTTGACATATTGTCTGTGCACCTTCTGAGCTCCCCTGCTCACAGCTGGGCAGCAGGGTCTTAATCTGTGCAACAGGGAGGCAGAAGGGGACTGGAGCAGAGAGGAGAGTGGTGGACCTGACAGGCGTATCCATTCCTGGGGGTCTGTGAAGACCCCCTCCTGTCTGTTATCCAAGCTAGGGTTATGTCCAAGCACTAGTGATGGGTACTTCTGTGTTCCTCACCAGTGCCACTTTCCTGAAGGCAGTTTTAGTTTTGTTTTAAGGAAGATCTTAAGTTGCTTTTCTTGTCCTTATTACTATTCCAGTTTTCTCTTTCTGGTTAGGAATGTATACAGACTGAAAATAATATTTTATGTGGCTTTGTCCTTTGTGTAAAAAACTTAATGACTGCTTCCTCCTTCTCCTTGCACTACTGTCTTTTGAAGCCAAATCAGTCAGGATACATCATCTCAAATTGTTTACATTAGACATGGAGTATAACAAATTCAGTGGAGGGCATTGTCTCCAAAGGATCTGTTCCCTCTCAGAGGTTACTCATGTAAAATATTGCATAAATCTGTGTGAAAAGGTAAAAAGAAAGGCTAAGGTTATTCCTTAATAAGGTCAAAAACTTCAGGGAGTTTCCTGTCCCATCCTACTCTAAGCTCAAGGTTTCTCAAGGGTTCAAACCATTTCCTCCCTTCTCAGTGTTCTAAGGAAACTTTTTAAAATATATAATCAAATTGGTTATATTAAAATTTTCATTTGTACTCATCAAAAGGTATCATTAAGAGAACAGAAAAACAAGCCATAGACTGGAGCATATGTTTCTAACATACATAAGAAAGGACTCATATACAGAATACATAATGAACCTCTACAAATCAATAAGAAAACACTGGCAAGATTTTGGTTGCCATCTCCAGTATCACCCACCCTTCTGTGGCTCTGGCTTCTTCTGGTGGAGGATCTTAGAGCCTACAAGTCTGAGCACTGCTCAGGTTCAGACTCCATTTCAGTGGAGTGAATAGGTTTTCTGGGGCAAAAATGAGGAGATCTCAGGGACAGAAACTACTTGAGAAAACAATCCCGACTTTGACCTCTCACTAGAACTTTGGGACAGAGTCAGAAGAATCTCAGAAGGAGAATCAGTGTTTATATTTACCCAATGAAATTGAACAACATATCATATGTGATGGGTTTTCTAAATCCCATTAGTCTTTTATTTGGCATATTTGAGTCCATTTATGTGTTGCTTATAAGAGTACAATCTTTACAAAAGAATGTATAACTGTAAATAAAAGATAGTAAATGAAATATCATGCTGATAATAAATAAAAGAAAGTTGATATAGTATATCATATTATATGAGATATTCCTTAATGCAAAAATCATTATTAGCTATAGAGAAACGTATTTTTGCAGCTTATTTTTCTGATCAGAATGTTCTGCTCCATTATAAAACTTTCCTTAAATTTTCTCAGGCAGTATATTCTGAAGTCTGTAGCCAGTGGAGTTGCTAACAGTAATCAAATATTTATCTTGGTCTTCTCTATACCCTGTGACAGTGTATATATACTGGATATAGATGGACAGGTGGATTAATGAATGGTCAGAAGGATAGAGAAGTAGTTAGAGCATTTTATAAGTCCCTCCATTAACTTCAGAGTAAAAAAAGTGATGTGATGATTTCAAGAGCAGAGAACCACCTACCTACCCCCCAAAAAAGGCAGAAAAAGATGAGTTATATCAGTCTCTAGGAGGGAGGTTTGATCATTATAGTATATATATTTTTAATAGAATCTCCATGTGATTCTAACGTGCAGCCACAGTTGAGAACAACTACCTTTAAGCAATTTCTAAATGTGGTTCTTGTGTTTGTTTTAATATTTAAATTTATCTGTGATATTAAACAGTATGGGAATTGGTGCTCATAATCTGAAGGAGTTGGCACACATTACTTGAACAGAGGGCATTTTGAGCTGCGGAGAAGCCCTGCATCTACTAATTGGTCTCTATGTGTCTAACCTGTCACTGTCACTTGGTAGCAATGTACTTGAATTCTAGGGCTGGTATCTCTAAGGCTAATTAGACACTTTGGAGGGCTGGTATCTCTGAGGCTAATTAGACACTTTGGAGAACTGAATTCTGTGAAACTGAAGTCATAAGGTCACAAGCCTGCAAGTGTTAATGAATGATTCACATGTAGTGAAATTGCATATCTATTCCCTCACATTGCTTTTTGTTTCCGCCTCTCACAATGTGACTTGACTTCAGCAACCAGACATTCAAGACCATTTCAAAAGGTACATAGTTACAAGAGCTTTTCTGAGACTAAGATAACCCAGAGAAGAGATGGAACTGAGATTCATGTGTCCCCTCCTCCTTGGCTCTGGATTGTCCCACACTAGCCTTGGCTGTGTGTTAGTCAGTCAGTTGTGTCTAACTCTTTGCAACCCCATGGATGGTAGCCTGCCAGGTTCCTCTGCCTATGGAATTCTCCAGGCTAGAATACTGGAGTGGGTAGCCATTTCCTTCTCCAAGGGATCTTCCCGACCCAGGGATAGAACCAGGGATCCTGCATTGCTGGAAGCCCAGAAATCCAGAGAATGATGGATCAGGCAAGAGCTGAGGACTGGGGACATCTGGACTCTAGGTATTGAGAGAAACACTGAAGAATTAACTCAACTTTCCTAACATTGAAGTTTCTCTTGTTTGTTTTTCTGTATCAGACTAGAAGGTACATGAAACATATCCTGGGATTTTTTTTTCTCTAATTATAAACTTTAAGAATAGAAGGACATTTGGGGATTGAATTCACTCATTTCATTTTTAAAGATGAGCAAACTGATGCCCAGAGAGTTTAAGTGATTTGTACACACACACAGCTGGGAAAGGGCAAAATCAAGACTAGATTTGACTCTGACTTGCAGTTCTCAGTTCTTCCCACTATAACATGCTATTTCTACTTTCTGTTTTAAAACTGCCTTCTGAATTTTTGTTGACCTAAAAATGTTTCTCAATTCCAAGAAGCATTTCTTTATTTAAATCCAGCTTAAAAAATAAAATTATTATTTTAAACATTACTCCTTGCTGTCTTAATTCTCCTGCACCTGCCTACACACACCCACACACACACACCAGTTTCTCCCTCACTCCTTTTCCCAGACACCATTGCTCTGGTGTTCAGTGTGCCAGAGTATGATGCTATAGACAGGGAAGAGCAGAAGGCTGCAGGAACAGGCAGACACCTGACCCTGGGGTGGGAGGAGCTTGGAAGGGCCGTTAAGAAATTTAGACAGTTGTCTAAATTGTCATAGGTATGTGGAGAATGGATTTGAAGGGGGCAAGACTGGAGGCAGAGAAATTAAAAGTACTGAAGTACTGATGCTGTGATCAACATAAATAATAAGGAGATGAATGGAAAAATTTGGAGGTGAAGTTGACAAAGCTTGATTGAATATTTGGGGTAAGGGAAATGGGAGAGTCAAGGATGACCATGTAACTTGTAGATGGCGGTGCCTCTAAGAGAAAATGAGAATTTTGAGGAGGGAAGGAAGATATGATAAATTCACGCTGAACTTGAAGTGCAGGTACCCAGCAGAGTGTCAAATGTACACCAGCACAATGCTCAGGAGAGAGGGCTGAGCAACACAGTGCCCACTAAAGAGAAGCTTCACGTGGAAGGCTGGGCCACATGGTGCCCAAGGCAAAGTTACAGGAGACAAGGGGAGAAGCAGGCAGTACCCAATCCTTGCTCTTGGAGATCTTTATGCTGTACCAGGGGTTTTAGACTTCACCGTGCAGGTTATGGAAGCCACTAATGAATCTGATCTTTCAGATGATTTTGGTAGCCATGTGGAAGATGAACTGGAGAGGCCAGGGTAGAGGCACATAGGCAAATGAAGAGAATAAAATTTGAATTTGAATACAGAAGAATAAAAAATTATCAGGACCTGAATATATTATGGTGGCAACAAAGTTTTAATGGAGAAAAAGAGTCAAATAATACACATGGGGACAATTTACAAATCCAAAAAATACATGTGGCATGGTCAAACAAGGAGGGGACATATGTATACCTACAACTGATTCATGTTGATGTTTGACAGAAAACAACAAAACTCTGTAAAGCAATTATCCTTCAATTAAAAAATAAATTAAATTAAAATTTTAAAAATACAGTCTTATATGAGTACTTGAATCCTTCAACCCTCCTGTAAACTTCTAAGTGGGATTTTGAGTCTGGTTTGAGAGAGAGTTTTCAGTGTGCTAGTGCAGCTACTGTGCTGTAAAGAGCAATAGAGTTTTGAGGAAATGGATGAGTGAAGAGGCTTTTAGACCATTTTGCTATGCATCATCCTATGTAATTGCCCTTTGATATTTGGGGTAGACTACATAATGATTTACATTGTTTTTCAGATTCGTGTTTGTTTTGTTATTGGATGTTACTTGAGCAAAGACAGTGCTTCAGGTGTTACATTTATACTAATAGAATCAGGAAGACAGAGTGAGCAGTAGTTGTGGAGAGGAATCCAAGATGACTCCAACAATGATGTCAGAAGTCAGGTGAGGCTTATGGACAGATGTGGCAGATAAGGGTCAAGGAAAGGGTAGTACATTCCATTTTGATCATATATGGAGTTTTAGATGCCTTGAGGGACAGTGAAGTGCAGAAGCCCAGCAGAGAAACAGTCTTCAGTGACTGGAGCTCTGGAGGTAGCCCTGGGCTGAATGTGGAAACTTGTGATTCTCTGGCATTGTTGCAGCAACTGTGTGTGTGTGTGTGTATATATACATATACATACATACATATATATGAGATTTTTATGGCAATTATATGGTTATACATATATGAATGAAGATATATATGGTTAAGAAAAATGAGGAGATCAAAAACAGGACTTTGTGTCACATCCTCATGTAAGGGATGGTCTGAGAAACAGGAACTCTCAGAAGAAGCTGAGTCGGCATGATCAGATGCATAAGAGAAAACCCAGGAAAGCAGGTGTCACAGAGCCCACAGGAGGGAGGAGTTCTAAGGCAGAAGTTGTGGTAAAGTAAAGTAAGTAAAGTCGCTCAGTTGTGTCCGACTCTTTGAGACCCCACAGACTGTAGCCTACCACGCTCCTCTGTCCATGGGATTCCAGGCAAGAGTACTGGAGTGGGTTGCCATTTCCTTCTCCAGGGGATCTTCCCGACCCAGGAATCGAACCAGGGTCTCCAGCATTGCAGACAGACACTTTACCATATAAGCTAACAGGGAAGCCCATACAGAAGAAGGTGTGGTAGTCAGTGTTAAATGTCACAGAGAGGGAAAGAACATTAGGGATTAAGTCACTGGATTTAGCCAAGGGGAGGTGACTGGCAACCTCAGGGAGATGGTAGGGATAGAACCCTGACAGCGGTGGAGAGGGAAAGGGGAATGAGGGATGGGAGCACAGCACCCTGTGAAGAGGCTGGTCTGTGAAGGAGAAGGAGGATACAGAATGACATCGAAGGAGGGAAATTCAGGGGAAACAGTACAACTTTGTTGGGTGCTTTTGTTTGTTAATTATTTTGAAAATGGTTGAGACTAGAGTATGTTTGTAAACCAAGGAGAAGCAATGCAAATAAAGTTTATAGGACAGTTGAATTTTTCTAGAAGCAAAGTCCCAGAGAAGAGAAGAAAGGACAGAATTTAGTGCATGCATGGAGGGTTTATACTCTGACCAGAGCCATGAGGTGGATGGCTACAGATGGTGGAGGGCTGTGGGGAGATTTGTGGTAAACAAAGTCAGTTCATGACAGATGGCGGGAAGGAGGTAACAGGAAATGATACTCTGAAGTCCATAGTCCAGGTGAATAACCAGAGTAATTTCCTTCGACAAACAAACTGAGGGTTTTGAATCCCCACTCTGGTCTGTGCTAGGGGCTTGCTGTCATATAATAAGATGAATATTAATCTCACAGTCTTCTCTGACTCACCTCAAAAAATGACTTAGCTTTTGACTTTGTCTTTCCACTGATCCTTTCTTCCCATCTCCCTTTCCTTGTCCTGTTTCATTACCTCCTACACACTCTCTCTCTCTCCCTTCCCCATGGACCCCTCTCCCCTCTTCTCCAATCTCTCTTGACTCCTCTGTTCTTTTTCTCTTTCATTCTTCCTCAAGCTAGCCACAGTGAGGAAACAAAGTTAGTTTTTAGGTTTTCTTATTTATTAGGTAAACATTTGTTTCCTGTGTTTAATTTTTTCAACAAATAAATCAAAAATTACACACTTCCTTCTCTAAAACTGTTTCAATTAGACTTGTTGTGTTGTTTAATGACCCCTGATAAAATAAACCTTCTCCACCTCTGCTGAGGCCTATGGGGAAGGAAACAGAACCTTTCATCTGCAACAGACACCATGTTTATTTTGCACACACTGTTGACTCCAGGAGAAAGAGGAGATTACATGTGATAGTCTTAAGGAAAATATGTTTTCAAAGTTTGTATGTGTTGTACTAGTAAAGAAAACAGAAAGAACAAGGGGAAAAAAAAACAGAAAATTCCTATCCATGTCCACACATTCAGTCTTAACTGGAATGCAAATGACAAGGGAGAATTTAAAAACAAATTTCTGGCCAATGAAAACTGTTTGCTTCTGGAAATCTTAACCTGTCTGTTGCCAGCCAAGAAAACCACTGTCCTTTTTGTTCCCCTGACCTGGCAACAGACAGAACTGAGGGCCCGTGTTGCCCTGGTAACTGCAGATGACATTCCCCATGCTGCAGAGAACTATGCACAGCATGTGGTTCCTGACTCTGGCTGTGGAGTCTCAGAGCACGCACAGAGCTGGATTTGACACCAACTTCAGCTTCTTTACGTCACGTAAGGTCATGTGTTATTAACCATGCTTCAGCAGGACCAACCCTTGACTCTAATGATGACTTCTATTGAGAGTGGATATATATATAAATTGTATCTATTGCTAAATTCTATGTCTAGTCTGCTAATGGCCTAAATTGTTTGTCATTACCTTATAAACAGTGTTCAAAATCTGTGACTTCTAAACAACACCTCCAATTACAAATTTCATGCTTCAATGTCCTGACATGCCCTTTCTAAAGGAATCTTTAGTAAAAATTTTAAATGGTTTAATTTTTATAAAGGGAAAAATTAGGAGTGGATAAAAAAGACTCTTTAGAGAGCATCAGGGGATGAAGCTGGGGAGGGGCCCCAAAAGTTCAGGTTTCCAGAAGTTCAGGTCACACTGAAGGGTTGGGATCATGCCATTCTCCTGATGCAGGCATTGAGAGTACAGTGAGTATGTGTGAGTTATCCTCACAATTAAAGATGAGACAAGAACCAGAAAGAACAAAAGCCCCAAACAGCCCTTGCATGACTACAGAGAAGACCTAATCTGTTTTTGCATTTTCCAGACTCTTGAACTGTTCACATGTGTCCTTCCCAATAGCACTCTATGCTACAAATGTATGTTTCCCACACCCTCCTCACACTCTCCTCAGTGCTGGATCATTGCTGTCTTTCACAGAAGATGGAGATATATAACAAAATAATTTACAGAAAATTGATAATTGAAAAGAAAATAACTTCATTATATTTTTTTGGTGGTATGTGCATTTTAAGAAGGGTCTTAGAAGGCAATGTCTAACCCAAAGAAGACCTGATCTTGGAGGGAAATGTAGACAACTGTGGGGTGCTTGGGGCAGGAAAAGCATGCTCCTATCCCTAGAGACCCTCCCATGGTGATTATCTATTCATCATACTTTTAAAAAAGTGATATTTTTGCCATGGATACATCAAAATTATTTTTAAGTTCTATCTGAATTATGCAAAAGAACCTCAAGCCTTCTTTTCCTCTCTCAGCCCAATTCTGACACCTAAAACCTATAGTTGAGTGTAAAATCTTAAGAGAATATGAAGACAAATGTGTCTATAAAAGTCAAAGTACTTACTTGTATAGGTATAACTTTATGGGTTTATTTTTATAAAGACATAAAATTGATCCCTTCCCAACTTGATCATTCCCAACTGAAACCACCAAGTTCCCATACAGTGTACTTTGTCACTTTTATGGGCCCAGACAGAACTGCTTTCTCAAAGGGTAGGGCTTTTCTTGCATCTAGTTTGAGATTTTTTTAAGAAATAACTTTTGCTTGCTAACTTATGTTTTTCTTTCACTTTCCCCCCTTTCCCTTGTATTTCTCAGGACAAATGTTACCTTTCACTTCACTGCCAGCCCCTCTCAACCTCAGGTAAGTGAAGGCTTCAAGGTTATCATGATTCTTACCTAAAGAAACCATGGTAACAGGTTGAGTTAGCACGTGGTGCCCTTACTCTTTTACAACTTGAGCTATATTTGTATTTTTGGAATGTGGTTCATATAACTGAGATTTTAGACACATCATTAACCTTATCATTTGAACTGGTGTGAAATGGGAGGCATGACATGTTTACAGATATCCCTTGGCTTAACCTTCATTCATTAAATTATGGGCCAACTATGCACATCAGGTACAGTGTTAGGCAGTATTAGATGCCAGGGATAGAAGGATGAAGAAGAAGAGAGGAGCAACTTCTGCCTGCAAGGACCTTATAATTAGGATGGGGATGGGGAGACAGAGAGTGGAAGGCCACCACTAAACAGATACAAAAGTAAACAACTGATCTGGGAAATATAACAAAAATGAGACAGATTTTAATATCTACAGTGTTATGGATAAAATTCATTTCTTCCATCATTAAGAAAGAACAGGTATGCTGACAAAAATTATCAGAAGATATAGATACTTGGGTTATGCTCTCCACTAGGCCTTAATCATAAACCAAATAAACAGATTAAAACTTTGATTAATTCAGGCTGCTTTTCTAGTGATACTGCTAGCTACTTTCCTTTTTCCTTTCATAGATTCTGAAAGAGTAAGGTTCATGCAATAGCCAAGTTTAAAGCAGATTTATTTAATGTCCTGATGTTTCTTGTAAATTTTCAGTACGCTGCAATACAACTTTGGTCAAAAGTGGCCTTGGATATACTAGAACTGGGATTAACATATTGTATGGATGCTGTTGTAAATCTATTACAATCACTTGTGAGCTGGTGAACCTGTTCTCAGAGAGAAAGCCCTGTTTTGTAGAGTTTGCCCATTTCTGCAGTGTAAATACTTCCACCCTGGCTGATTTCAGACTGCCATCATGACATCACTGCAGACAGAGTTGGAAATCAGTGTGCACAGTCAGCTCACCAAACCTGCCAAAGCTGACACCCGCACACCTTTTAGAGTTACACTTCCCATCAGTAAGTCTCCACAGTGCATGTATGCTGCCACCCAGTGACAGAAGAGGACTACAGACCCACAGTCCATGGACCTCAAAGTATCGGTCACTTAATTCATGAAATTTTTGAAAGCACTATTTGCGGGGTGCAATGGGAGGTATCTAGATAGGAAAGGAAAAACTTGCACCCCAACTTCAGAAAGAGTACAGTCTAATAGTCCAGTCCAGAGTCCTGAATGTCGTGATGTGCTTTGTAGACTGAAAACCAGTGATGATTATATACTGCAGCTTCTTTCCATTTAAAAAACATTATTAAACACTAAAGTCCAAATAATTTGTATATAAATTACAAACTAGAGTAAAATATACCTCAAAGAACTCATGAAACAAAACAGAAATTCTTTGACACCTATGAGGTCTTATTTTACTCATAACAGTTCCCATTTTGGCCTATATTTTTTATCTTCTTCAACTGTAGGAAAAAATTTCTGTACCTTTAAATTCACCCAAACACTTGTACAGATTCAGACAACCTGCATCATCACTGCCTGCCTCTGTTCCTATAGGTAGAAGCAGGTAACAGAAACTGGACAGGTAATCAGGACGTAAGAAGTTGATTTTTAGCCTCAATTCCAGGCATTGCTTTAGATCCTTGTCATTTCCTTCTTTCTGGTAAAAGTACATTATCAAGGCAAAGGGTTTATTTACTTGGGATTTATGGTAATTTAGAGATAAAGAAAACTGGTGGTGATTCTTCCAGTGGTTAAGAATCTGCCTGCCAATGCAGGGGACACAGGTTTGATCCCTGGTCTGGGAAGATTCCACATGCCTCGGGGCAACTAACCCCCTGCGCAGTAACTATTCATTAGTTATGAAGCCCTCATGCTCTAGAGCCCATGCTCTGCAACAAGAGAAGCCACCACAATGAGAAGCCCACACTGCACCTAGAGAGTAGCCTCCACTCGCCACAACTAGAGAGAGCCCGAATGTAGCAACAAAGGCCCAGCACAGCCAAATAATTAAGTAAATAAACAAATAAAATTTAAACCAGTTTATTAAAAAAGAAGATTGGTAATACTTTGGCATATAGATAAGACTTCAGTAGCGGCCTATAGCTTGCACAAAACCAACTCCTAGAATATATAGGAATGTATATGACATTCATTTTCATTACTGTTAATAGTAGCCATAATAATGCTTTTGAGGTAACAAAGTATGGCTTCCCTAAGAACCAAGAACACATGTTGGGAATTCCAGAGTATCTTTGGAAGAGCCCTGTATTCTATGTATTTGAATCAAGCTCCAAAATAAAAGCACAAAATGAAGTGGGTTCTTGAGAGCATTGCCATCTGTTACAAGGCATGAACAGACTTCCAGACAGTAGCATTAAAATGACACTCTTTAATCTTAAGATAATTGTTCCCCACTTGGAAGGCTTTGGATTGTTGAAAAGTTCTATTTTCATTGCTCTGGTTCTCAGGATGAGATTAGTAAAGAGGATGATGGAATGCAAAATGAAGTTTTAATGGGTTTCAGTGCTCCTTCAAAGTCATAGATTTACTAAAGTCTGGATATGGGGGCTTTTTTGTTTGGTTTCCTCAAAGTTTTTTTTTTTAATTTATTTAATGGGAGGCTAATTACTTTACAATATTGTAGTGGTTTTTGCCATAAATTGACATGAATCAGCCATGGGTATACATGTGTGCCCCATTCTGAACTCCCCTCCCACCCCCCTCCCCATCCCATCCCTCTGGGTCATTCCAGTGCACCAGTCCCAAGCACCCTGTCTCATGCATCAAACCTAGACTGGCGATCTGTTTCACATATGATAATATGCATGTTTCAATGCTATTCTCTCAAATCATCCCACCCTCACCTTCTCCCATAGAGTCCAAAAGACTGTTCTATACATCTGTGTCTCTTTTGCTGTCTCACATATAGGGTTATTGTTACCATCTTTCTAAATTCCATATATATGTGTTAGTATACTGTATATGGTGTTTTTCTTTCTGACTTACTTCACTCTGTATAATAGGCTCCAGTTTCATCCACCTCATTAGAACTGATTCAAATGAATTCTTTTTAATGGCTGAGTAATATTCCATTGTATATATGTCCCACAGCTTTCTTATCCATTCGTCTGCTGATGGGCATCTAGGTTGCTTCCATGTCCTGGCTATTATAAACAGTGCTGTGATGAACATCAGGATACACGTGTCTCTTTCAATTCTGGTTTCCTTGGTGTGTATGCCCAACAGTGGGATTGCTGGGTCATATGGCAGTTTTGTTTCCAGTTTTTTAAGGACTCTCCACACTGTCCTTCATAGTGGCTGTACTAGTTTGCATTACCACCAACAGTGTAAGAGTGTTCCCTTTTCTTCACACCCTCTCCAGCATTTATTGTCTGTAGACTTTTGGATAGCAGTCATTCTGACTGGCATGAGATTGTGGTTTTGATTTGCATTTCTCTGATAATGAGTGATGTAATGAGTGATGTTGAGCATCTTTTCATGTGTTTGTTAGCCTTCTGTATGTCTTCTTTGGAGAAATGTCTGTTTAGTTTTTTGGCCCATTTTTTTGATTGGGTTGTTTATTTTTCTAGACTTGAGCTGCAGGAGTTGCTTGTATATTTTTGAGATTAATTCTTTGTCAGTTGCTTTGTTTGCTATTATTTTCCCCCATTCTGAAGGCTGTCTTTTCACCTTGCTTATAGTTTCCTTCGTTGTGCAAAAGCTTTTAAGTTTCATTAGGTCCCATTTGTTTATTTTTGCTTTTATTTCCAATACTCTGGGAGGTGGGTCATAGAGGATCTTGCTGTGATTTATGTCGGAAAGTGTTTTGCCTATGTTCTCCTCTAGGAGTTTTATAGTTACTGGTCTTATGTTTAGATCTTTAATCCTTGTTGAGTTTATTTTTGTGTATGGTGTTAGAAAGTGTTCTAGTTTCATTCTTTTGCAAGTGGTTGACCAGTTTTCCCAGCACCACTTGTTAAAGAGATTGTCTTTTTTCCATTGTATATTCTTGCCTCCTTTGTCAAAGATAAGGTGTCCATAGGTGCATGGATTTATCTCTAGGTTTTCTATTTTGTTCCATTGATCTATATTTCTGTCTTTGTGCCAGTACCATACTGTCTTGATGACTGTGGCTTTGTAGTGTAGCCTGAAGTCAGGCAGGTTGATTCCTCCAGTTCCATTCATCTTTCTCAAGATTGCTTTGGCTATTCGAGGTTTTTTGTATTTCCATACAAATTGTGAAATTATTTGTTCTAGTTCTGTGAAAAATACCATTGGTAGCTTGATAAGGATTGCATTGCATCTGTAAATTGCTTTGGGCAGTATACTCATTTTCACAATATTGATTCTTCCAATCCATGAACATGGTATGTTTCTCCATCTATTTGTGTCCTCTTTGATTTCTTTCATCAGTATTTTATAGTTTTCTATATATAGGTCTTTTGTTTCTTTAGGTAGATATATTCCTAAGTATTTTATTCTTTTTGTTGCAATGGTAAATGGAATTGTTTCCTTAATTTCTCTGTTTTCTCATTGTTAGTGTATAGGAATGCAAGGGCTTTCTGTGTGTTAATTTTATATCCTGCAACTTTACTATATTCATTGATTAGCTCTAGTGATTTTCTGGTAGAGTCTTTAGGGTTTTCTAAGTAGAGGATCATGTCATCTGCAAACAGTTTTACTTCTTCTTTTCCAATCTGGATTCCTTTTATTTCTTTTTCTGCTCTGATTGCTGTGGCCAAAACTTCCAAAACTATGTTGAATATTAGTGGTGAGAGTGGGCACCCTTGTCTTGTTCCTGACTTTAGGGGAAATGCTTTCACCATTGAGGATAGTGTTTGCTGTGGGTTTGTCATATATAGCTTTTATTTTTTTTATTTTTTTTGAAGTTAATTTTTATTGTTTTCCATTTATTTTTATTAGTTGGAGGCTAATTACTTTACCATATTGTAGTGGTTTTTGCCATACATTGACATGAATCAGCCATGGAGTTACATATGTTCCCTATCCCAATCCCCCCTCCCACCTCCCTCTCCACCCGATCCCTCTGGGTCTTCCCAGTGCACCAGCCCTGAGCACTTGTCTCATGCATCCAACCTGGGCTGGTGATCTGTTTCACCCTTGATAATATACATGTTTTGATGCTATTCTCTCTAAACATCCCACCCTCGCCTTCTTCCACAGAGTCCAAAAGTCTGTTCTGTACATCTGTGTCTCTTTTTCTGTTTTGCATATAGGGTTATCATTACCATCTTTCTAAATTCCATATATATGTGTTAGTATGCTGTAATGGTCTTTATCTTTCTGGCTTACTTCACTCTGTATAATGGGCTCCAGTTTCATCCATCTCATTAGAACTGATTCAAATGAATTCTTTTTAATGGCTGAGTAATATTCCATGGTGTATATGTACCACATATATAGCTTTTATTATGTTGAAGTATGTTCCTTCTATTCTTGCTTTCTGGAGGGTTTTTATCATAAATGGATGTTTAATTTTGTCAAAGGCTTTCTCTGCATCTATTGAGATAATCATATGGTTTTTATCTTTCAATTTGTTAATGTGGTATATCACATTGATTGACTTGCAGATATAGAAGAATCCTTGCATCCCTGTGATAAAGCCCACTTGAACATGATGTATGATGTTTTTAATATGTTGTTGGATTCTGTTTGCTGAATTTTGTTAAGGATTTTTTGCATCTATGTTCATCAGTGATATTGGCCTGTAGTTTTCTTTTGTTTGTGGCATCTTTGTCTGGTTTTCCTCAAAGTCTTAATCATGTATTTCATGTCAAGCTTCTCAACCAGTTACTATATTTATAATTACTTGGAAGAAGTCCCCTTTCTTCATTATTAGCAACATGTTTAAAACTTCAGTTCAGTTCAGTCACTCAGTCGTGTCTGACTCTTTGTGATCCCATGAATTGCAGCACACCAGGCCTCCCTGTCCATCACCAACTCCCAGAGTTTACCCAAACTCATGTCCTTCGAGTCGGTGATGCCATCCAGCCATCTCATCCTCTGTCGTCCCCTTCTCCTCCTGGCCCTAATCCCTCCCAGCATGAGGGTCTTTTCCAATGAGTCAACTCTTTGCATGAGGTGGCCAAAGTATTGGAGTTTCAGCTTCCACATCAGTCCTTCCAATGAACACCCAGGACTGATCTCCTTTAGGATGGACTGGTTGGATCTCCTTGTAGTCCAAGGGACTCTCAAGAGTCTTCCCCAACACCACAGTTCAAAAGCATTAATTCTTCGGTGCTCAGCTTTCTTCACAGTCCAACCCTCACATCCATACATGACCACTGGAAAAACCATAGCCTTAGAGTTAATGAATTTTTCTGGTGAATTGATAATCTAAGTAGGTAAATAGTATAACCTCTATTATAAATGTTTCCTTATTCTGACATTTGAGAAATACTTTTAAAGGTATCTTAGCCTGCACAAAATTGTGAACATATTTCAGGAGCCTAGATGTAGGGCTTGGTCTTTGAATCTAGTTTCCTTATTCTGATATTTGAGAAATACCTTTAAAGATATCTTAGCCTGCACAAAATTGTGAACATATTTCAGGAGCCTAGATGTAGGGCTTGGTCTTTGAATCTAAATGTCATCTCACTGAGTTCCAGCCAGGAAATAGATTCTTTGGCCAAAAAAAAAAAAAAAAGTCTAGGGGAAAGGTGGGTGTAGTGCTAATCCTTGCCTATGGGAAGGTAGTTAAGATTCTTGAAGAACAAGCTTGTCTGCCTTTCAAGGAAGAGTTCTTATTTCAAAATGACCACATAGAGGTAAACTTTGTTTCCTATAACATTTCACATATCTTTGATTCAAAGGGTGGGGGGATCTTCTTAAGTTGAAATTGGAATGAAGTGTAGCAAACTTTAGTTGAGAATAAATATCATAAAAAATGATACAGCAATGTTGTATTAAATGGCTCCTTTGTCTTGCTCATTGCTGTATTCCTAGTATCTGAGCCCTGCACAGACATCTGCTCAATATGCAAGAGATGAATGGCTGGCTGAATTACTGGAGGCTTACTGAGATTTACATCTGAACTTTGTGCCTCATATTAGAGGAAACCACCTTATTCATGAGAAAATAGCTTGTGACTAAACATTTCTTAGCATTAACAAATCCTATCTTTTTTTTTTAATTCTCAGTATTTCCTGTACAAATTTCCTGAAGACGTAGACTCAGTTATCATTAAAGTCGTGTCTACATTGGCTTATCCATGCTCTGTTGTCTCAGTCCAGAATATCATGGTGAGTTTCATAACTTGTCAACCTTCCAATATAGAGTTTTATATTGTCTCAGGATAAATGATAGCGTGAGCACCATTTCATCCTCTTACTTTGTACTGCTGACAAGACTGCTAAATACTAAAAGCTGTATCTTGTGCACATAAGTGCACAGTATGTGTTTATAGACATTGATCTGGGGAGATAGAGAGACATCGACTCTTCACCAAAATGAACAAAGGAAAGAAGGGAAGGAGGGATGATCGTGACAGAGAATAAGGAAGACCAAGTTGTAAACTGCACAAGAAAAACAGAAACCTACTGCTTGTTCTATGTTTTGAATTTTTTGCTGTGTCATTAGGCCCTTTCTGTCTCATAAAGTACTAATAAAATATGGGAAAGGTGTTATATACTTTAGGACAGATCTTTTATGTTCTCTTTAATATTAATATAAAGTGACCTTGACTTCAGAGGACAAGGCACCAAATTTTAGGAAAACTATTTCATGACTGTTCTGGGAGGAAACTCTTCATGGTTTCTGGCTCAGTAAGGACCCCCTCCTCTGTGATCCAGGTGGTATGTGTGGTATGTATATATGACATTAGTGATGTTTCCCTTTTTATCTCCCATGCACATGACAGTGCCCAGTATATGATCTCGACCACAATGTGGAATTTAATGGTGTCTACCAGTCCATGACTAAGAAAGCTGCCATCACACTACAGGTGAGACATCACTTCTGTGGGTATCATCGTCAATGACGAAGTTTATAATCAGGTTACCTACTGAACCAGTTTGGTCACCCACTGAATTTAGAGAAACCTAAAGGATTACCGCTCACTGTGTACGCTGAATCTCTTTCCTTTCTGATTGATTTCAAAACAAAGATTGCTATACCTGGTGGATAATGCTACTCTACCAGGTGCCCTGTTCCCCTTGGGGAATCTTGGGAACCTGTGACGCAGCAGGAGAGGTGTCTGACAGATTGCTTACAGAGGTAAGGGTGAAAGATTCCAGTCTACTCAATGCGAGGGCGGTGCCAATTTAGCATAAAGCTTATCTGATCAATTTAAAACAACTAAATATATTGTACTAAAACAATATTGTAAATCAACTATGTTTGCATGCATGCTCAGTTGCTTACTCTTTCCGACACTACGGACTGCAGCTCACCAGGCTCCTCTGTCCATGGAATTGTCCAGGCAAGAATACTGGAGTGGGTTGCCATTCCCTCCTCCAGGGGATCTTTCCAATCCAGGGATCAAACCTGCATCTCCTGCTTCTCCTGCATTGGCAGACAGATTCTTTACCACTGAGCCACCTGAAAATAGTATATTTCAATTTAAAAGACACATATTTTGATACTTTGTACTAGTGACAGTAACCAAAAGAGAACTTCAACTCTGGACAGAAAGGGTAAGTTCAAAGGAATATGAATCACATTTGTGTAGAAGTTTGCCTTTTTGGTATTATAATTAAGTTTTTGTTTTAATGATAATTTTATAGCAAAAATATATACACATCATGTCAGCATATTTTCAAAGAGATTCTGTTCCTGCCTTTAGAGTGGTATTTACTTGAGGTACCTGCAATTTGATATGTTCTCTAGGTAAGGAGATACTGTTTATTGAATAACAGGCCATGAATGAGGAGAGGTTAATTATAATTTAAGTATCAGACCTAAAAACTTCTATTATTCAGGCTTTAATTTTTAATGTCTCAGATTTGATACTGCAAATATCTGCTCTTGTTTGAGTATTTTTTCCCTTAGCACCTCAGCATTATATGGTCCCAAATTTAAAAGGACAAAAAATAAGCATAATAGGAAACTCAGATTTTTACACCACCTGGACAGTAAATTAATGAAGTACAGAGTGTATCAGTACTTTCTTACTCTGATTATATTTGGCAATAAATTAGTACAGCTCTCTGGACTCCTGATTCAGTCTTGGTCCATTTTCTCGGTAGGTTAAACATCAGAAATTTGGGAATAATATAAAGTCAAAATAGTGTAAATATGCTCGATCTTAAACATTATCTAGTCAACCATGCTTCATTCATAGATAACAAACTGAGACACAGAGAAGCTCACTCAGAGAAAGTCAAAGCCAGGACTATAACTCAGGTCTCTTAACTTGAGTATTTGCTTCCCTGACCTAAATTAATTTATCTGCTGACTATATGACTTTTCAGAAAGTCATTTACCATTGAATTTTAAGATAAAAACACTATAAAAAGCTATACCACTATAAAAAGCTAAAACAACTCTAAAAAAGTTTATTGAAGAATTTAATATGTAGGCTGTTGACATATATTTTATTCAATTCTGAGCACTCAAGTGGGCACAAGACAGACTGAAATCAGAAGAGTGTATCGACATAATTTCTTGGATATAACAATTATTTTATTATGGCTAACCTGGAGTAGATCATGGGAATGTGAGAGTCCTTTCTAAGGAGTTAGTGAGAGGGATGAACTTTACTTTTTTTCTCTTTCCTTCTTTGTGCCCCCACCACCATGAATTTTCTCCCTTCTTCTCACTATCTTTATGTCTTATGCAGAAGAAAGATTTTCCAGGTGAGCAGTTCTTTGTGGTGTTTGTGATAAAGCCTGAAGATTATGCCTGTGGAGGATCTTTCTTCATCCAGGGTAAGCAACGGTGAGGAATATTTGGCTATGTAGAAAAACGTAACGGAATGGAATGGAAACGAACCAAAAAGTTCATTTTGGCCCCTTCTGATCCCTTTCAACCATCTCTAGTTCCAAGAAATCAGGGTTATCAGCAGTGGCTTGGCAAAGCAGTCTGAGATGTACTTGAGAAAAAAATAAAGGGAAGAAAATAATAGATCTCAAGACATTATTGATCCTTGAATCTTTTCTAAGTCTTGTACTTCCTCAGACTATATGAGGTAAGTTGGCTCTTTACTCAACAAATATTTACTACTATGAAGTAATGGGGCTTCCTTGGTAGCTCAGATGGTAAAGAATTCCTGTGCAATGCAGGAGACCCAGGTTCAATCCCTGAGTCGGGAAGATTCCTTGGAGAAGGGAATGACTACCCACTCCAATATTCTTGTCTGGAGAATTCCACAGACAGAGGAGCTTGGTGGGCTATAACCCATGGGGTCATAAAGAGTCAGACATGACTGAGTGACTAACACACACACACACACACACGCACACAAATAATGATTTTAATACAGCAAATCGAGGTCCATTTACTAAGATCATTTTGGTAGCTAGCAGTAATGGAGCCACCTATATTTATCAGTAGTCATCATTTCCCCAGGAAAAGTCAGAATTCTCAATTCCCACTGCCAAAATTGTCCCTTTCAAGATAGTAAGTAAGCAAAGTAGGGCAATTTATCCCAATTGACAACTTACCCAATGTGTAAGCTCTTAGGCACAATACAGTGGTTGTGGGCAACTACCCACTAATTACCACGGCAATGGAAAAGGCTGTTGATTGAAAACATGGACCCCTCAACAGCTGATGGGCCATATGTGACTAACATGGAGAGTGTTTACTGTTGAGTGTAACACTGTTCTCTTGGTATTCAGGTGAATCTTCTTCTCATGTATTCTTTTTCTTAGTCACTGTTTTAATTTTTATTGGAATATATTTGCTTCACAATGTTGTATTAGTTTCTGCTGAACAACAATGTGCATCAGCCAAATGTATACATGTATCCCCTCCCACTTGAGCCTCCTCATATATTCTTTAATCTCTTAGTTACATAGCTCTAGAGTTTTGCTAACATCCAATGTTCTTGTAAACTACAAGTCTTTTAATGGCTATATAAGAAAAGCAAATTCTCACTGGCTAGAAAAATGCAAACCAAAAGATGAATGAGCTCTTTATTTTTGCAGCTGTTTTCCTCAGATTTCCATGGTATATTGAATCATAGGTGATATGAGCAGAAAGGTCAAGACTTCTTCATTTAAGAAATGAGGCTACATTCTCGATTAAGTCACTTGGTGCTACCAAAATGCACCCAAACAAAGGTCAAATGGAAAGTTTTAACCAAAGAGTATTTGATGGTTTGATGGTTTGGTGATTTTGTTTTCATGTAGCTCTTCCTAAAAGAAAATTTAGCAACCAGAATTCATCCTGGATAGTTTTTAAACAACTGTTCAGATGAGAGGCCAGGAACCTAGTATCTGACCCATTGTGCTTTGTTCTTTTTTTATCAGAAAAGGAAAACCAGACTTGGAATCTACAACGGGCAAAGAACCTTCAAGTGACCATTGTTCCTTCCATTAAAGGTCAGTTTTGGTTGTTATTGTCGAGTCACTAAGTCATGTCCAACTCTTTGCAACCCCATGGACAGAAGCACACCAGGCTTCCCTGTCCTTCACCATCTCCTAGAGTTTGCTCAGATTCATGTCCATTGAGTCAGTGATGCTAACTACCTCATGCTCTGCTGCCCTCTCTCCTTGTACCGGGATTCAGTGGAGAGATTCCTGTCAAGAAGGAGATCATGTCATTCAGTGCTAATGTCATCCTTCCAGAGAAACATCATAAGAAACCAAACGTTTACCTTAGAGATAGAAGAGAGAATCAAAGCATTTTGTTAAATTCCTTACAGAAAGAAAGGGAAGTCAATTATGATTTTGTATATAGGAAGTCCCTCCCAGCTCCCCTAAGGAAGTCATCACTGTGAAAGGCAGCCATTTATGGTCATTTATGGACCATGACTGGGTGACCTCCAGTAGCTTCCCTGCTTTGAATGGGATTATTTTAGGATTTAAGAATGGGTGTGATGCAGATGGGCCTGTGAAGCTGTCCTGTCCCAAACATGGTCCTCTTTTCTCCTGAGGACATCTTGACCAGATCTATTCTCTTCCCTCAGGACCCGTTTATGTGAAATCCATTCTTCTCAGTTTCCTCATCTTCTTCTCCTTCTACTTGGGATGCCTGTTTGTTGCATTCATTCATTATATCAGGTATGTTAAGAACTTCAAGAAATGTCAACCCCCTTCACCTGTCTCTGCTTAGCAGTTAGCACATTAGAGTCATACTGACTGGATTCAATTCTACCTTAGCCACTGTGTGATCTTGGGCAAGTTACTTAATCTTTCTGTACTTCAGTTTCCTCATCTGTAAAATGAGATAATAATTTACCTCACCGATCTGTATAAGTGCAGTGTTTATATCAATGTCCTACACAGAGTAAGTGTTGGTAGTGATAGCTACTTTCATAGCTAGTGAAACTTCAACAGAAAGGCAGCTTGGGTATTTTTTAGAACAGAAAATGCTCAATGTAGATCTTATGGAATGTAGGAAATCAGTTTTACCTAACATGGAGATTTAGAAACAGCTTTTAGCTTTGCATCAAAAAGTAGAATTAATGCCTAAAATAAATCTTGTGGTATAATAAGTGCCAGGAGTAATAAATATGCTGTGACACTATATTACCAGGTGCTTTTTTACTGTTACAGCATCAATTTTACAGTCAAATATTCCCTGAGAGAAAAAAAGGAGATAATCATGCTGTAATTTGACCAAGGAAATTTCCCTTCCCAAGAGTTTGGAGCCCCCAGTGAAAAAGAGTTGTAGTCTTTCCTTGTATCTCTGAACAAGCCTGAACTTGAGAATTCTATAGTTTGTCCTGGTCTCTGTGAAACAACTGCAAAGGAATGGCAGGAGGTACAATAAACAAATGTTCTCTCTCTTCTTGAGCATCTGAAGAAAACAAAGCCAATGTAGTTTTCAGATTACTGGAAAAGATTAGCCTCTTCTGTAGAAAAACCTCACAACTACCACAGCAATACAACTTCTCAGTGATACAGGCCTACCTCTGATCCTAAAATGAATCCCTCTGTGACCTTTATGAAGCTTTGCAACTGAGAAACTGACTTCAAAAACCATTGACCATATCTGGGACAATTTGAGCACCAAAGTAATTAAGGAGAATAGTGAATTATAAACCATTGAGAAAAACAGAAATTCATGAATCCTTATCAATAAGGGAGAGAGGAAGGAAAAAAAGGGAGGGAGGGGAGGAGGGAGCAAAGGAGGAAGATAAGAGGGAAGGAAGGACCTAAATACTTACATATATACATTCAATGAATTCAACAAAATTACCAAAACATTTCCACATTAGGGAAAGGAGCCATTAGCAAATATTGACATAGGAGGGAGGATTCTTGCCTACAGCAGAACACCAAACACTGACTGGTAAATAAGGAGAGAGTCCCTGAATTGGAAAATCAGTATTTTGCATAGATCAGGTTAAGAATCATCAATGAATACTAAAGCTAGGAGGAAGATCTGATGAGGATCAAGATATTTGCATGGCCTTAAAGTGATTCCCCACAAAAAGCTTGGAAGTTGTAAGGGAAAAATAGTAATTATACAGAGGAGAAATTGGATGATTGACAGGGTGATGAATATTAATATGACCAGAGGGAAGATGGACACTTCCAGGTGTGACACCCTGAAAAGGACACAGCCTCACTTGTGCAGTATTCCAGCCAGAAATGCCCATTTTTACTATAATCATGAGGAAAAAACTAGACAAACTCAAAATGTTGAACAATCTATTAAAATGTGTCACAAAAGACAAAAATTAGCTACAGAAATGTTTGAGATTGACTGAGACTGAAGATACATGATGACTAAAGACAATACTTGATCTCAGACTGGATCTTTTACTAGAAGAAAATATGCTATAAAGGACATTACTGGATCAATTGACACAACTATAATACAGACAAGATAAGAATATCATATCAATGTTAAGTGTATTGAATTTGACAACTACACTGTGATTATGTAAGAGACTATCTTTATTCTTTGAGAAGTATTTAGGCATAAAAATTAATGACATATGCAATTTACTTTTAAATCATTCCAAAAAATTTTATATATACATATATATGAAAACTGGAGAAGGAAATGGCAACCCACTCCAGTATTCTTGCCTGGAAAATCCCATGGACAGAAGAGCCTGGTGGGCTACAGTCCATTGGGTCACAAAGAGTTGGACACAACTGACTGACTAACACACATATATGAAAACACACACATGCACCCAGAGACAAAGAATGATATAGCAAAGGGAGTAATATGCTAACAATAAGTGAATCTAGATAACAATATATGGGTATTCTATGGTCTATTCTTATAGCTTCTCCAAAAATTTGAAATTATTTTCAAATAAAAATGATAAAAACAAAAACACCAGTCTACAAGCAAATACACCTGGAAAGTATATATACATTAACTGGTTATCAGCTCAATTAATTGATTAGATCATAACCACTAACATAGAACAAGTACTTGCTCTATGCCAGGCACTGAACTGGGCCTTCTAAGTAGATTCTCATCTAAATCCCAACAACAGTAAATACTAGTATTATGATTATTATTTGACAGTTAAGAATACTGAGGTATTGAGAAGTTAAGTAATTTGACCAAGAATTCACAGCCACTAAATGAAGGAGATGGGATTTGAACCTAGGCAGTCTGGCTGGATCATTGAAAAAGCAAGAGAGTTCCAGAAAAACATCTATTTCTGCTTTATTGACTATGCCAAAGCTTTTGACTGTGGATCACAATAAACTCTGGAAAATTATGAAAGAGATGGGAATACCAGACCACCTGACCTGCCTCTTGAGAAACCTGTATGCAGGTCAGGAAGCAACAGTTAGAACTGGACATGGAACAACAGACTGGTGCCAAATAGGAAAAGGAGTACGTCAAGGCTGTATATTGTCCCCGTGCTTATTTAACTTATATGCAGAGTACATCATGAGAAATGCTGGGATGGAAGAAGCACAAGCTGGAATCAAGATTGCCAGGAGAAATATCAATAACCTCAGATATGCAGATGGCACCACTCTTATGGCAGAAAGTGAAGAAGAACTAAAGAGCCTCTTGATGAAAGTGAAAGAGGAGAGTGAAAAAGTTGGCTTAAAGCTCAGTATTCAGAAAACTAAGATCATGGCATCTGGTCCCATCACTTCATGGCAAATAGATGGGGAAACAATGGGAACAGTGTCAGACTTTTTGGAGGGGGGCTCCAAAATCACTGCAGATGGTGATTGCAGCCATGAAATTAAAAGACGTTTACTCCTTGGAAGGAAAGTTATGACCAACCTAGACAGCATATTAAAAAGCAGAGACATTACTTTGCCAACAAACGTCTGTCTAGTCAAGGCTATGGTTTTTCCAGTAGTCATGTATGGATGTGAGAGTTGGGCTATAAAGAAAGCTGAGCACCAAAGAACTGATGCTTTTGAACTGTGGTGTTGGAGAAGACTCTTGAGAGTTCCCTGGACTGCAAGGAGATCCAACCAGTCCATCCTAAAGGAGATCAGTCCTGGGTATTCATTGGAAGGACTGATGTTGAAGCTGAAACTCCAATACTTTGGCCACCTGATGCGAAGAGCTGACTCATTGGAAAAGACCCTGATGCTGGAAAAGATTGAGGTCAGAGGAGAAGGGGAAGACAAAGGATGAGACGGTTGGATGGCATCACCACCTCAATGGACGTAGGTTTGGGTGGACTCCAGGAGCTGGTGATGGACAGGGAGGCCTGCTGAGCTGTGGTTCATGGGATCGCAAAGAGTCGGACACGACTGAGTGACTGAACTGAACTGAGTCTGGCTCCAGAGTCTTAGCTCTTAAAGCAAGCTGGTCAAGATGGGACTGGAGTGGGCAGGGCATGTGAGGGAAGGCAGTCTTGATTAAGGAGACCAGATCCAAAGCCTGGCACCCCAGCATGGATTCAATTGAAAAAGAGTCCAAAAAGCTGCCAACTTTGATTCAGATGAGTTTTAGTGTCATGGAAAAAGAAGTTCATCTTTTCTGCCTCTACCACCGTCTCTACCACTGATGTTTTAGATTTTAGAAGATAGGATTTTACCTCTTTAGTTACCTAGCAGAAATAATCAACACTAAGACAGAGAGAAAAATTAAGCTAATAACTGGATATCAATCTCTCTAAAGCTGTTATGCAGCTTGCAAAAGTGAACACAGTTTTTAAAAGTTGCGACCTAAAGCTCTATTGAAACCTCTGGCTGCCCCAGATTACTGTGCTACAGTCAACTGTACAAAAATAGAATCTTTCCAAATACAGGCAAACTGAAAATAGAGATCTGGAGACATAAGAACTACTTGGCATCTAACTAGGGAAACAGAATGAGAGAAAATGCCAACAGAAATCTTCCTTCATTGAACTGAGCAGAAATCACAAAGCTTTCTACAAAAGCAAGTGAAGCCAGTCCTGGAGCAGAATACCATTTGTTTGTTGAGCCTCCTGTTCCTTATTACCAATACCTGTAGTGTTTGCAGCACATTCTATTGCTATGAGGTGAGGGTGAAAACACTGATTAGAGACATGGCTCCTGTCCTCAGGGAGCTCAGAATCCAAAGTGTTTTTATGCTTTTTTCTGTTTTTTTCTTTTCTCTTTTAATGTTTTTTTGGCTCAACTCTATTCCCCTCCCACCTCCGAGCTGCAGTTCATTTAACAAGTATTTATGGAGCCCCTGCAATGATGCTCTGAGTCAAGCACTGACTGCATCCATGTCTTTCATTCCTTCCTCTCAGTCACCCTGCCAGACATTGAATTCAAACTGCATAATACTGATTACTTATCCTTCTGTTGATTCCTGTATTAATTATCTGTTACCACAATAACACTGCATAAAAATCAACCATAAAAATTCCAATGGCATACAGCAATACATATTTATATTTGCTCATAGGTCAGCTGGATGATTCTGCCAATTTGACCTCTGGACTAGGCTCAGGGGCTTCCCAGGTGGCACTAGTGGTAAAGAACCTGCCTGCAATGCAGGAGATACAAGAGATGTGGATTGATCCCTGGGTCGGAAAGATCCCCTGGAGGAGGGCATGGCAACCCACTCCAGTATTCGTGCCTGAAGAATCCTGTGGACAGAGAAGCCTGGCCGTCTACAGTCCATAATAGGGTCACAC